TTGGTGGTGGTCTCCGTCGAAGCCCGCAAGAAGCTTGTGCGGTGCTCCGGAGAAGTGCTTTGTGAGGGGCATTGTGCTCGCCCCGCGGGAGCCGCGAAGAACAACTCTAGTAAAGCGTGTCATTGAGCTACCCTCACTTCCGGGGTAGGTTCTTGCGGCGCCCGACGTGCGGGCTTGGCGGGTGATGCCAATTAGCCACCGAACCACCAAGTGAGCGGTCGACACAACGGGGACTAGCGTGTTGGCAAACACGTGAACCTTGGGAGAAAAATCATCGTGTCAACCTTGTTCTTCCCGTTGGTTTGCATCCCCATTACACAAGCTTGCAATTACTTTTATACATATTAAGCTTGTGTAGTTGCTCTTGTAATTAGTTAGCTTGTGTAGCTTACTAGTTACCTTCTTGCTTGTGTAGCATAGAAGTAGCTCCCTTGCGTGGCTAATTTGGTTTTAGTAACCTTGTTAGTCACATTGCTTAGTTTGTGTAGCTAAGTATTTGCGCTCTCTAATTAGGCATTGGTTGCCTTGTTATTGAGCTTTGCTAGTGAGCTTAGTTGGCTTTGTGCTTTTGCTTACTAGCATGTGTAGGAGCTCCCTTGTTGCTTAAAATACTAGTGGCATAGGTTTGTGTAACCTTGCTCTTAGAAATGTTTAGGAGAGCTCTAGCTAGCCCGGCACCTTAATTGCTTAATTAGTATTTTTGAAAGGTGCTAGTGAACATAGATAGAGGGGTGTAGTCTTTGCTAGACCGATAGTTTTAATTCCGCACTTGTTTCGGTTAGCCGACGCGATTAATTTTAAAAAGGACTATTCACCCCCCTCTAGTCCGCCATCTTGACCTTTCAGTGGCGCTGCAGGGCGAGAGAGAGTCAGAGCGGGCGGGGTGGATGCGGAGTGAGCGCGTAAGGCCTCTAGTCCACTGAGTTAAGCAGAGGAGGGAGCAGAGAGATCAGGTCGCGAGCTTGGCCACATGCCGACAATGGCGGCCTTGACTCGGTGTGCGGGAGAGCAGGGAAAGGGAGCGGCTACAGCTTGGCGAGGGTGAAGCGGGGGGACTCAGCAAGGCGCGGCGGGGGGCCTTGCGGCTCGGTCTGCGCATGGGGCTCGGTCGCGCAGGGGCTCGGTCGCACGGCTGCCCGACCATGGCAGGCGGAGACCGGAGGTGGGAGACGGGTCCGACAGGCGGGCCCATCTGGCGGCGAGAAGGGGAGAGATAGCGGGCCGCCCTGTTCCGGTTGTAGTATTGGGAAGAGGATATGAAAAGAACTGGGTGGCCTCTCTACTTATTTGCACGCCCCAAATCAGGCTCACGCGCGGCTCACGTGCGCTTTGACACAGTCAGCGCCACGTTGTACATGCCACGTCGGCAAAAACGTTGTTCCGATGTGTTATGGACCTAAGTGGCATACTTAAACAACATTAGGGTGCCAGAAGTACGATTTGAGAGTTTATGGACCTAAGTAGCATCCCAAGACAAGTTCAAGGGCCTACGATGCATTTACCTCTTTTTAAAATATGGATTCTGAGAAAAAACTGGTGATGGTGTTTAGATCCCTAGTTTTTCAAGAATCTGGCTTCATTTATTGCTCACAGGATCACAAGAAACTAATAAAAACTGGATATCAACAGCTTCTTGGTTTTTTTTAATCTGGCAACAACACACACAAGAAACTAAATAAAAACTAGCATGTTTGATCTCACTCACTTTTTTAAAACCAAATTCTTAAAAGCTGAAAGGATCCAAACAAGGCTTAGAACGGGCTCCACCTCTGGTTTTACCCTTCAAGTGCATTAAATACTCCACAATAAGGTTCTAATTAGGGATGAAAACGGATCGGATACGAACGGATATCACTCATATTATATTTGTTTTCATATTTCTGTTCGGATTCGGATTCGGACACGGATAACGTTCGGATACATATACGAATACGGATTGACTCGGTTACGGATACGAATAATGAGTATCGAATACGGTATGAATCGGATTCGGAGAAGGTCGGATACAAATATCTATTCGGATATTGAGTAAAAGCAATATATATATATATCATACGATGCATGCAAACCATTACACCACTCTATGAGTCCATAATCCATCTAGATTAAGCCGAAAGACTAAAGAGTAAAGCAACAAATAAGATAAAGATACAGATACATCATACATCAAACATCATATAAGCACCAATCTTCGCGGCATGAGTAGAAATAGCCAAGCACATTGCTTCATGGGTCTCATGGAGTCATGGTCATGGATTCAAGATCTACAATCCTTATATAGGCCATTTTTTCATTTTGAGAAAGTTTAAACAAAATGTAGTTCAAATTTCACAAGTGTGACATAGTTTTAGAAAGTCTGTATGAGATTTAAGAATTTGTGACTAGTGTTTGATAAAACTTTCTCAAATGGGAAAATGAGCTATGTAACAATTGTATATCTTGCTGAGATGATCAAATTTGGTATTCAGAGTTTTTTCATCTGAGGTCATTTAGTGTCTCATTTGAGCAAGTTTGACCAAGTCAAATTTGGTCAAATGAAAAAACAACACTTTGACTCTAGTATTATGAACTCTAAATGATTTCAAATTGAAAAGTTTTGAATACCAAGTTTGTTCAACTCATCAAGATCTACAATTCTTGTTTTGGTCAACTTTCCATTTGAGATAGTTTGGATGGTTCAAATTTATGATTTTTAAATTTCGATGCTTACAAACTAGTTTTCGGAACCCTAGATTGTCTCAAATTGAAAAGTTTTGAATACCAAGTTTGTTCAGCTCATCAAGATCTACAATCCTTATATATGCTATTTTTTCATTTGAGAAAGTTTGAACAAAATGTAGTTCAAATTTCACAAGTATGTGACATAGTTTCAGAAAGCCTATATGAGATTCAAGAATTTGTGACTAGTGTTTGCTAAAACTTTCTCAAATAGGTAAATGAGCTATGTAACAATTGTATATCTTGCTGAGATTATCAAACTTGGTATTCAGAGTTTTTTCATCTGAGGTCATTTAGTGTCTCATTTGAGCAAGTTTGACCAAGTCAAATTTGGTCAAATGAAAAAACAACACTTTGACTCTAGTATTATGAACTCTAAATGACTTTAAATTGAAAAGTTTTGAATACCAAGTTTGTTCAACTCATCAAGATCTACAATTTTTGTTTTGGTCAACTTTCCATTTGAGATAGTTTGGACGGTTCAAATTTGTGATTTTTAAATTTCAACGTTTACAAACTAGTTTTCGGAACCCTAGATTGTCTCAAATTGAAAAGTTTTGAATACCAAATTTGTTCATCTCATCAAGATATACAATCCTTATATAGGCCATTTTTTCATTTGAGAAAGTTTGAACAAAATATAGTTCAAATTTCACAAGTGTGTGACATAGTTCGAGAGAAAGTCTATATGAGATTCAAGAATTTATGACTAGTGTTTGATAAAACTTTCTCAAATGGGAAAATGAGCTATGTAACAATTGTAGATCTTGCTGAGATGATCAAACTTGGTATTCAGAGTTTTTTCATCTGAGGTCATTTAGTGTCTCATTTGAGCAAGTTTGACCAAGTCAAATTTGGTCAAATGAAAAAACAACACTTTGACTCTAGTATTATGAACTCTAAATGACTTCAAATTGAAAAGTTTTGAATACCAAGTTTGTTCAACTCATCAAGATCTACAATTGTTGTTTTGGTCAACTTTCCATTTGAGGTAGTTTGAATGGTTCAAATTTGTGATTTTTAAATTTTGAATAAATATCCGGATAATATCCGTTTTTAAATATCCGGATATATCCGATACTTATCCGGATTATCCGATATCCGCCGGATATCGATGATATTACATCCGTATTTGATATCCGCCTAAGATATCCGTTTTAGTATCCGTATCCGAAAAAAAACGGATATCCGAGTAACTATCCAGATAAGTGTTCATATTTGTTCGGTCGAACGGACGGTCGAATAAATATCCGTACCATTTTCATCCATAGTTCTAATCACCTAATAAGATAATGATAAAATAGATGTCGATATTGTTTTCAACTTGATACATTCGGTCTAACTTATTAGGATGCAATAGATTCTAAAATAGTCTGATTGTTAAATTTATTAAAGAATAGTCTTGAAAAAGATTTAACAATTAGTCAATAGTGCTATTTTGAAGACATGTTTGGTAAAAAAAAAGAATGGTATGGTTCCAAGTAATATGTGTATATTAATAATAAATTTAGCACATGGCCTCTAAAATTCTCGAGACGACTGACGTTAGGGCACCGGGCGCTGTTTGGAAAAGCTCAGCTTCACCAAAGAGAATCACTCACAACCAGCCAAACGCTCAAAATGCTAACCGATTCAGATGAGGATCAGAAGAGAATCACTTCTCCATTTACCGTAGGAGCTAGGAGCTAAAAAATCTACCTCACCCTGCTCCCTATTATATTTCTGCAGAGAATTAATTCTGATCAGCTCCTCACCTTCTCCCTCCTAGCAATCCAATGAAATCACTCCATGGAGAATTAAGGGCCTAAAGAATCAAGGAGCGGAGCTCTCCCAAACGGGGCCTAACTACAAGCAATGTTGATTAGCTAAGCGGGACCACTTGTCTACGGATTTGTTGGGGTTAACAAAAACAGCAGGAAACACAGCCAGATCTTTGATGCTCCCCCCTCCCCCACCTCTCAAAACTTGCACTCCTTGTACATGAACTAAGTAACACAACAAATCCCTTTTTACAATAAAATTTCACTTTCCTATTAACCCTGCCATATATCATACAAAGTTGGCCAGGACATGCGCCCATGGCCACCATCCCTAACCCACATGGTGCCTTCAAACTGGCACCATGATGCCGGTTCATCTCAAGCAGGCACATTGCTGCAGAAGTGCTGACAGCATGCCAATTCAGCTCAGCTGATTACTTGTATCCTTCAAGCAATCTTGATTTTCAGGATCATAGATTGAGGGTGCATTTTCAGACTTTGGCATTGATTAATCTAGGTTCATCATTGTACTCTCAGATCGTCAACTCTATCGATCACATCAAGGGCTTTTGTCCGGTCGATCTCAAAGTCGATCACAGGAAGCAGCCTCCTGATTGATAGCACCTCTTTACGGTTGCCACTGCTTGGTGAATGGCTGTTACTTTTGCTTAACCTGCTTTGCTTATTATGCCTTTCCTTAGTGTCAAACTCCTGGCTTTTGCTTATACCAGGGATGAATTTCCTGTACTTGACATCCCTTAGCATATCTTGATCTTCTTGCGTCAGAAGAGGTGATGAATTGCTGCTGTTTTTGTTTGGAGACAATGTGATTGAGGCCCCTCTTTGTGTAGGAGACCGAACAGGAGACTTGATTGGAGACCTTTCACCATTTGCAGTTTTGGATTGACTGATAAGATGATGAAGCCAAATAACAAGCTCGAGTATATATGCTTCAGTCTTGTCCTTGTCAGCATGGTACAGTGTCTCAATGCGGGTCAGGTCCATCTGCCCAGTTGGCTTGCAGTTCACATCTGACCTGTGTAAGACAAGAGAATCGTTACTCCGATGTTCTAGCCATATAACTTTCCTGTTAGAAATGAGCAAAATCAGATACCAACCCAGTACTTGCCCACTCTCCAACCCAACCGAAACCATGGTGAGCCCTGGTATGGACAGATCATCAAAAATTCAGTAACAAAAAGGGATAAGCAGAAGTCTCTAGCTATTTTGCATGTTATGAAGGTAGTTAAGAATTTAGATTACTTGGTGGTGTTACTTGCAATAGGGACAAGCCACCGCAGGGTCTTCTCCATTTCAGCCTTGATTTGAGAAACAGTGAGCTACACAAATCCAGCAAAAGCTTGCATTAAACTTACAATTACATGCTTACACGTAACAAACATAGTATGATGTTGAGTGCTACAGCCTACTTTCATTTTTCAAGCCACGGGTCATGGGTGCCATCCCACATACCTCTTCCTTGGCTCCAAAGGAGTGTAGCTTAGAACGGAGAGATGACTTTATGATTGGTGGCAAACTTTGGTATAACGCATCCCTTGTATTTGGAGGAACAGAGCTTGAACGAGAAACCTGTCAATTGATCAACCCTTGTTAGGCTACCAGAAAAGAAGCAAAAAAATTGAGTTTCTTAGCACAACAAATTCAATTTGTGTGGCACACAAAACTACAAGTACTACCCCATGAACTGTAGGTCTGTAACATTAATCCTTCATCCTCACGGAAAAGTTGCATTTCTTCAATTAAAATATTGGGGAGTAATGGATGTTTGACATTGACAAAATTGTGTCAGCAATGAACCAGAACTGTTTTCCGATACAAACGAAAGACCTATTGAATTTTATATCCAGGACACAGAAAACATTGGAGCCTGTGAACTTACAAGAGTATCAATCTGACTGATGATATTAGCATAATGCAGTGCAAGGCCTGCTGGACCCAATCTATTACGTCGCTTGGTAGGTTCCTGTGATTCTTCACTGTCTGCATAGTGTTAGGATGACAATTTTCAGTCAATGATAAATACAGTACTGGTGAAGAAAACAATCATAATATATTTAAAATTTAAATAATAATTGTGATTATGTTTCACTATATGCAAATTACATAATAAAAAAGTTCAACCATGTTCATAGACCACAGGTGCAAGTACAATTGTGAGCTTGTTTCCCCTGAGACTCTTGCTGTGGCATAATGGTAGCAAAAACAGTAAATCAGATCCACAACTGGGATAGGAGGTATGAGTATGACAGGTGACAGCTCAACCAAGGAATGAAATGCATCCATGTTTTATTTACCATGCTGAGTGTACAGCAAGATGAATATTTCATACACTTTGTAACCAAGAAAATCAATGAGCATGGTCCCTTAAGAGGTAGTGTGACGAGGCCTGCTAAATGCCAGTGGATTGACAAACCAGGAAGGTTGATTTGTAAGAACTTGAACTGATTCTCTTGTCACATCATGCAATAAAAGATCACTAAAAGGCCAGGCCACCCACGTGGATATACAAGCATAACACCTCTCTTAGGCGTTCTCACTTTGGCCAAAATGATATGACCTATTGTGGTATCCGCTAATGCCCAAAATTGTGCCCCTAGAGTCAGAAGGTGAAACTGAAGTATAACTTACGACACATTAGTAACAAGATGTGTTAATTACATAGCTCATAACTGCTTTTAAAAGCAACCAAGATGATAAACTAGCCAACAGCTAAATATGTACAAAAGTTTCATATAAGATAATCACAAAGGTTATTACCTGAACGCCCAAATGCATTATGGATCTCCAAATGTAAGAAGTGCACAATGTCCACAAGCTTTCCCATGACCTAGGAGAAACAAATATTATTTTTTGAAATAGTAGAACAGGATTGAATGCTTTCCTAGAGCTACAAGTTGCTGACAGCACATAGTCTATTATATGGTAAAAACCGACTATAGATGTATCACAGGCAAAGAGAGATGCTAAAAGTTCTGATACAAATGAAAAACATATAGCCCTCAATTCAATGGGCCCTTATTACAGTTAACAAAGCATAGCCAATGGGTGTTATTAGAGAATATATATCCAGTACCAATTTGGTTGGGCAGTAGCTATCAGTTCATATGCTCTAGGAAGAGGAATTTTAGGTCCTTTTTTTTTCTTATTATGTGTCACGGCCTAGGTCTATTGGGGAAGGAGTTGGAGGCCAGCAAGTGAGATTAGGTGGCGGCTAAGGCATGGATAAGGGATCGAACACGAAGAGATACGAGAGCAAGAGCATACTACCTCTTAATTCCTGCTTCCTTCATTCAAAGGAGTCTCCTCTCTTTATATGAAACAGGGAGCTAACTTCACCCTAGATCTGATCCTTACAACATAGAAGGTTCTAGAAGACTCGACAGGCCAGTAACCAGGCACAGGAAGCTTCCACATTACTGCCCACATGCGTCAGCCATGAGTGCTACAGTAAATTGGGCCAGCAGCAGATGCATGTACAGTAATAGGGCCGTGACATTATGTTTGACTAAAATCTTAAGACTACATTGTTAACTCTAACTACACAATTATGCAAGCATACTAACCAGTTAAATAAAGCTGCATACCAACCTCTTCCAAATTCTTAGACCACAGAGACTTTTTCCTCAAACTTTTAACATGCTTGCGTTGGCTTTTCACTTCCTGCTTTAGTATGTGCATGTTATCACCTGCAAATTAACAGAGCCACATTCAGCAATGTTATCAAACGACAACAACAAAACACTGTAAAATGTATACTCATCAAACAGCATACAGGCTGAATTGGCAGGTATCAGAGGTGCATACCAAAAGGGCAAAATATATTTTGCCAAAAGAAAAAGAGGGGGGAAGAGGCTAAATGTCACGGCTAAAGATAATAAAGGCAATCCACTAAAAGGAATGAAATAGAATAGATTACATCAGTAGCATAGGAAGAACTAAAATGGACAAAATATTAAGTGACGCAAGTAGTAGCAGTAGCTACACTTGTGCTCGATGTTCAAAGATAGAAATAGTTACCGGAAATTCAGAATTATTTTCCCTTGCCTAGGTATTATTCTTATTCACAACTCAGGTTCGTGTTAACAAGAAGCAAATACAGATCCAGTCTCTGCTGCTAAGTGTACTTTAAATCTACATCATATCAGGAAACCTGAAGAGCAATCTTCTATTACTGGATTTTCATTTTGTTCCACCTGAGAAGAACAAATTTTGATTATATCCCTTCCTTAAAAGAAGTGTTGGACGCAAGAAGAAAAAAAATTGGCTGATTTGGACTTGTCAGGTGCAGTTAACTGTCAGATGAATCATCTAGCCCTGGATATATTGGTCAAAATACACTAGCTGTGGCTCACCTAACGGCAAATATGGAGACAGTTGACAGTGATAGATGACAACATAAGAAAGAGACCTTGACCATGTTTATACATGCATGGAACTGTCAAAGTCAAATGGACAACTTTCATCAATCAAGTGTGTCTCCTACAAAGTCAGTCACAAGAAGACATCCAGAATATTATGTTCAAACTAAAGTTCTTATTTCCCTAATGACCTGACTCCCGAGTGTTTTGTTCAAGATGAACTTTTCTCAAATGATAAAAAACGAAACATGAGTAGCACCAACCAAAGGAGGAAAAAGTTGTTTCTTTTTCAATGTAATTCTTACAGATGACTCCATTATATTGTCATGTAAAAGAACTGACCTCTTTGCACAACACTTGAACTATCCTCTTCATGCTGTTTACGCTGATAATCTTGTTGAAATCTATCCAGGGCATGCATTTCGTGGTATAGTTCCTAAAAGTTAGAAAGATGATAAAGTTTATAAATTTGGAGAAAAGAAATGCTGAAAAGAACAGAACTGATAGATGCCAGGAGAGTGACAGCTAAATTTGGATAAAACTATGCTCGTGGCAAAAGGCAGATGAATATTAAGATCATTACTACTTCACGCATAAAACTGATTGAAAGAACAGTTTAGTCAGAGACTCAAGAGTGCGAGCATAACCTTAGTGACATACTAACGATTTGAGACCACTCTCTGACCTCTCTACCTCTTCATAGGATATGCAATTAATCTTTTGAGAAATCTTAAGATTGATTGTGCATTTATGTTTTGCTGTCTACAGTCTGCTAAATTACAGTTATTAACCTGATAGACAAATGTCACCACATGGCATTGCTTCCAAGGTACATAAATATTACTTACAGCTGTAAACTGAACAGAAGTCACTAATTCCTGCATTACTGATTCTGCCTCTTCTTTCAATTGATGTTGAGGAGTCCGTTCCGATGCCAACCTGAAAGAGTTTGATGGCATAAAAGCGCTGAGTTATTTTTCAATACCCTAAAACCTTTACCTCTATAGGTTGCAGGGGCCCAAAGTGAACTTTACTTATCAAAGTAGCGATCCAAGTTGTGCCACTGAGGATCCTTGCAACGATTTCCAAAGCGAACAACTTCTGTCGAAAACACTTTCAACTCTTCCCTGTTGGACCAAACAAAAACTTCAGTAACTACAAGCATATAAAAGCAAGTTGAAGTACAATTTTTCTATATAACCAGGTGGAAGCTACTTAAATAAAATAAATAAACAGTTCAGACAATTGTTGTAGTTTATAAAATTATCAGAGATTATTCACTAACCTTTTGTCAGCAGCAGCAATCTTGAGTAATTCATCCATATCTTTGGATATAAGATTCTGAACACCTTCAGAGTGAAGCACCGTTTCTTTTAAATGCTTTATGCTATCTTTTGAAAGGGCGCGCATTAGATTGCAACCTTGGACTATAGTATTGGCAACCTCAAATGCTAAAATAGATATTTTGTTTCCCTTTGTTGTAGTGCCTGATCCAAAACTACTTATATTCAAATTTGTCATGCTACTGCCAAGTGTGTCAAGCACTTCCACTGCTTTTCCAAGGCCAGCAGTACTAGCTCTACCCAGAATTGAGCTTACTTCTGAAACCTATTTCAACAAGGAAATAAAACATCAAACGTGGCATAGGGTCTGGCGATCTCTCTGATTTTTTGAACATTTCATGGACAAATAGTTAAGGGTGAACATTTCAATTTAGCAATGATAAAAGCTCGCACATATTTACATATTTCCTAGGTTTAGCATAGCAATTCATTTTATGAATGGCTGGAAGTCATGAAGCTATAGTAGTGTGGCGATAAATAGGAAAAACTACAACAACATCCTGGCAAAGTGATAAGGATGCAGATGAAAACAGCATAAACTGCATTGGATTTGAAGGATGTGCACTCTCAGTCACTCACAAGTGTGCAGCAGTTCCCACAACAACACTCTAAAAAGGCCTTTTAGCCGATTAATGGTTCATGTTGGTGAATAGCCGAACCCATGCGCTCCAACCCAGGGACAAATCTTTAGGTATATTCCATCCTTTCAAGTCCCTTTTTTCTTCCTCCCCCCATATCAAAGGATCCTGCTATGCACCAGTGAGGTCTTTGTTCGAAAGTCCAAACCATCTCAACTGGTGTTGCACAAGATTTTCTTCAATTGGCAGTACCAGTAGCCCATATGTTGAAGTTAAGTGAAATGGCTGCCTTTCCCCATTAGCTTAAGCTTTTGGGTTGAATAGGTCAGTATCAGGGCAAAATATCTCGACTCTCGAGTTCAAATCCTGGCGGACACAATTAAATACTCCTAAAATAACTGCAGCCAATTCCTATTTCCACGTTTGAGGCCTATTTCCACGTTTGAGGCCTGAGGGATACACGTGAGGTGGGGTGTTGAAGTATAAATGAATTGCCCACCTTTCCCCATCAGCTTAAGCTTTTGGGCTGAATTGGTTAGTTGCTTGGTCCTTTCTTGTGTGACCACAAATCCAAAGCAATACACATTCATTATAGCAGAGAATAACAAGTGCCTTGCTGCCAAGCACTCAAAGAAGACTTATTAAAATTCACGCAAAGATGTTAGTAGATCATCCACTAGTTCAAGATATCATGAAAGGCTAATGCTACAGAAAAAAAGAAACTTCAAAATTCCCATGAGAAAAGTGCACTAATCCCTAAGCAACATTATCAGCAAGAACAAAATACACTGATATAAGAAAACAATTCAGTTTTTCAGTAGACGAGGCAAGAAACGATTGATTCAGCTATAATGCACCAAAGTACTGAAAACTTGCCTTATTCGCCACACCCATCCCCGACTTCTGCGATGGCAACCGTGCCAGTGGTGGTACCCCATCCCATGGTGCTGTAGTGGTATCTGTGGAAGCTTCACGCACTGCAGCTTGCGACATCGATACAGGCAGAGGTGGCTGCGCTGGCTGCTGCTGCTGTTGGTGTTGATGTTGCTCTTCTTGCATCCTCTTGGCAGCAGCTTCCCCCGCCACAGCTTTCTCCTCCTCCTTCACCACTAGACGGTCATGGTGGTCGACCACCCTGCCGGGGCCGAGCGTAGTGTCGCTGGGTGACTTGTCCACCGCCGATCCCTTGGAGCAAAAGCCCCCCATTTCGTTGGTCCCTCTCCAACCAAACCCTAATCCCCCAGTGCCCACCGGCGGCTCTCACCTCCCACGCACCCAAACATTCCTGATCCCCGCGCCGCCGGCTCCCATCCGTACCAAACCTATCCACGCGAAAATGAACCAGCTCGGAACGAAGGTTCCAACCGCAGTACTAAACTTCCAGCCGGTGAAGCCGCCCACCTGCAGAAGCCATGAGAAATCGCCAAGTCAGCAGAAAGGCACGAAATTTCTGCGCAAAACCAGAGATTTTCTCCACAGAAACGCATTCTTACCGGAAATTGGCGCGAGGAAACACACCTGCGGCGGGTGGATCGGCGAGGCGGGACGGAATCGGGCGCACCGCAGAGGCCCTGACCTCTCGAAGGGAATCGGTGGATTTGAGGGAAGCGAGAGAGAGGACGCGATGGCCGATGGGCAGGGTGGGTGAGCTTTGCTCTTCCTTTGCCTTCTTGGAGAATGGAGAGTACTACAGAGTAGCCGGGCGTCCACTCCACCAGCGGAGCTGCGGCAAGGAGGGTCCAGTCTCCAGTCCACTGCAGGCTCCACGTCCACGGTGACCAACTGCCGCTGCCCGCTGCTATTGCCACACGCAGGAGGCGCACGCACAGGCACAGCAGCGGACGCTCATAGCGCGGTGTCGCGGCGGCCGTGTCGCCGTCCGTGTCGCCGTCGGTTAATAGAGGTTAGCAATAGCAATTGCAGCAGTCATGCTATCTTATTTATTGTGCGTGCTCCATCAGAGATTTTTCTCAGTGCCTCTAGCATACTAGCATGCTTGCTTTGGATGCAAATGAACTCAGCAAATATTTCCTTTTTCATGGAGTTGAAGAAGATAGTTTGTTTAAACGAAGAGGCAGGAGTTAAACCGAGATTGAGCAGACGCAGATGTTCTCTCTTTCGCGTTTGATCTTCTGTGAAATCTTGACTGAAAAATTTATACCTTAAAACAGTCAAAAGCTACTGCTAGTCGTATTGATTTGCGTCTATGTTATTTTAACACTTAGGCCCCGTTCGTTTCGCTGAAAAAACAAACCGAAACACTATTCCGTTTGATTTGTTGTGAAAGAAAAATATTGCTCCGACTAAAAAAAACAAGTTGAAAAATACGGATTATAAGACAAGCGAACATGGCCTTAGTTGATAATCTTTCCTCGTTAGCATGTCATGTGCAGCGATGAATTGGATTGTCCAATTGATTTCTTTGACTATCACTTAGGTTGCTAGTATGCCTAAAATATACTAGTTGATGTGATGGTATAAGAAATACGCAAGCATCATTTCTACGTAACCGTGTGACTTCCAAAACTTGTTTGTATTTCTATACTATCCAGAACCGCTACTTGCATGGGTTGTTGAAGATTAACCCAGTGCAATGAACGAAAGCATTTCTCTCTATTATCATAAAGCATATATGAACACTTGCATGTGAGTAGTAGCTAGGTTGGAGTGTTGGTGCTAACAAACCTAAACCACCATGATGGACTTGCAGCAGAGAACAAGAACAACACTCCAGTTAGTATGTGGATCATGTGTGGCCAGGAGCGTAGGATTTGCTAATCTATGGCTTAGCCAAAACCAGGCAAGATTTTAAGGCAAGCTACACATCGGTCTACGATCCCTAGTCAACTTGAACACCAACTTTTCTGCTGTCGTGTTCTTGTGTACCAGGTCAACTCTCACACACGCCACTTCCTTTAATAATTTGTCCCTGTATAGTAGTACCATAAGAAAAAGCAAGTGAAAGAAGCCCAATCGTTTCTATCTGGTTATCCGTTACGACGATGAACAGTGATGGAATTAACTTGTCATGCAATACAAAAGATTTACTTCTCTGTCAAGTGCTGGACTCGTGGCTTGGTATGGTTGTCGCCTTCTCGGCATAAAAGCACTGCCAGAAGAAGTTTCCTGCTAACGCCGACACGTTACTTTTCTTCGTTTACCTCTTCTGTACGTATGGATTTTATTGTTTTTTTCTAATTACACGGAATAGATCCACAAATATATATGCACACTCATTTTTTGAACATGCACATACAAACCCGATCACTGTGAGAATCTTCGAAACACTGATGAGCCGGCCGATAAATCTCAAATGTTAATTCTAATTGGAATATAGGAACTTTTTTCCAGTTCCAAACGGGCCCCTTAACGGATGCGAGAAATCACTTGTTTTTGCCGAATCACCTGTAACACATTGAAACTTTCTTCCTAGCGTGATAATGAGATGAGATCTCGGAGGTAGACTCTGCAGTCTGCATAGCCGAACTAACTAGCTACTTTGTGGAGGAAAGAGAAAAAGGACAAAAAGATTCATCTTTTGAATTGAATGGATGAAATGAAATTACAGTGATATGAACACTCGCGTGGTCAGCGATTCCAAACTTTAGATTGAAGCCTTCCGTTTGTCGCTGCTTGTGAGAGTGATGGATCTTGACGAATCTGGGCAACAAAGTCCCAAATTGTAGCTGTCTTCTTTCTGCCGAAGTGCAAGGACCTCACAGAGCCTCAGTTCGGTGAAAAGTAAAGTTCACCGAGCTGTTTGGACGCGACGCAAGTAAAGTTCACCGAGCTGTTTGGACGCGACGCAACTTGTATTAATTAGTTTCCAAACGAGCGAGGTTTGGTTGGCAGTGATTATATTCTTCGTCTGGGAAAAAAATATATAATAGCGTGGCCAGTCTTCAGTCAGTTCAGTGCCATGGATTTATTCTTAGCGTAGTCTTTTGTCAGGAACACAGCACATGCACATCTACATCTACTTGACTAAGTTCTGACACATGAACAAATAAACTAGATTTGAGGTGTATCATCACTAAGCACGTGCCTCAGGGGAGATGTGAGAACCTGTGCTGAATCTTGGACTCACCCTGACATAATAAACCCACAAAATCCTGCTATAATCTCCTACTATAAGGGAATTGAAGTGTTGTTACCGCAGTGGTAAATATAGCTAGAACTAGAAGCCCTCGTTGTCGTGACAGAGATAGTACGCAAGGGTTGTCCACTGAAGTATAATCCCTGCACTGCACAATGCTGTTTCCCAGATGGAGCTAGTAGCTCCTGTACATGTCTCATAGAAATGAACAAAATGGAAAGAAACCAAATCAACGGCAGACCCAGACAGGCAATATTCCTTCCTTGGACCAATGATGGCAACCGGCTGCTAAACCCGCGACACATTTCTTGCGAGAACAGCCAACCCCTTTGAAGCGGTCCTCGGCCGAGCGAGAGCGAGCCCCCCTTTGAATCGGTCGGGCGCCCGCCTCGCGGAATCGCTGTCGCTGCACAGCGCTCGCCATGCGTCAGCGACTACAACCGGCTTCCCACGGGAGCATGAGGCGCCGAATTTTTTATTTTTTAGTCTTTTTTTTTGAAATTTTTTTATAAATATGCCTCTGGAGGTAAGATTTTAAAATCTGGACCCTTAGCTCGGCGCCATAGTTACTGGCGCCGAGCTTACACTGCTCGGCCCAATCGTTGCTGGCGCTGAGGTCTTGGGCTCGACGCAGACGTGGCGGTGACTTGGCAGGCAGCTCGGCGCCATAGATCCTGACGCCGAGCTTGGCGCCGTAGATCTTGGCGTCGAGTTCGGCGCCATGATCTATGGCGCCAAGGTGGTGTTTTAACCCCGGCCCCAACCTTCTTGTCCGAGCCTTCTTTCTCTTCTTTCTCATCTCTCTCGGGTTTTTTCTCTCTCCCACTTCGCCCTACCTCACGAATCGGCATATTAGATCTTTGAGACTTTGATTTGATATGTAAATCTTCGGGAGCAAGGTATCCTCGCTCCCCTCCTAGTTTTTTTCGCATCGATTCGGTATATATTAGTCGGATTTTTTAATATAAGAATCGTCATTACTTAAGGTTTCATTCTATCCCTCAATATTTATATTATACAACCGTAGGATGATGTCAAGGCGTGAAAAAGCTAGCAAGCCTAGGTAACCACAACGCATGTAGTTATGTTATGGGTTCATTGTTATGCATCAAATAGGAAACCCTAGGTTTAGGGTTTAATGTTAATTGCTTTCGGTTCTTAGAATGAAATTGGTTGTATTGTAGTTATGGTTCTCATTGAAATTAATTTATGATGTTTTGATTTTTGTTTGTTAAATTACATCCGTTTTGTTAGATGCAAGAAATGTATCGGGAGGAGTTTTGACGAAAACGGGGTCGTCCTCGAGAATTATACCCCGACATGTCTAACAAAGATGCCCCCGTCCCTCCTGACCTCCCTGTCTCTAACTGTGACTGTGGTTTCCCGGTCCACGTGTTTCAATCGAGACATTCAAACACAGCGGCGCGTTGTTTCTACATATGTGGTCGTTTTAATGTAAGTAATTGTTTTCACTATCTTTTTTTCTTTATTTGTGTAAGTATGCTACTAATATTTTGCTGAAATCTTGTTGTATAGGACCATGAGGTTTTTTTTCTTTTAATGGATCGACGGTGCAGATAAGTTTGACCCTAGGTACCTCCTTTTTGACAATTGGTTTAGAGGGAGACATCCAAGTGAGCACTTCAAGCGGTGGGTTCCACTCTCCCTAACCCTCCACCAATGACGGCTAAGGAGAAGCAACTAGCCACAGTTAGACGACTCGAGGAGCCTCCTCTGTGCGAATGCGGAGATTGAGCTATGATAAACCCTGAGAATACGTTGGAGTTTGTGTGTCCGAACAAACACGAAGTAAGTGAAAAGTGTATTTATTTAAATGTTTAGCTCTATGTGTACGTGTACTAATGTCTCCTCTTTTAGGTGTATGGATTTACGAAGTGTCGTTTCAAGGAGTGGCTCTATGGTTCTAAGAATCAATGGCCGAAGCCACCAAAGACAAAGGAAAAGAAGAAAGAAATGTTAATTTACAAAGCACATCCAGTAAAGTGCGAATGAGGTGTTAAATTCAACTACGGTTTAGTCCCTTCGAAGCTTGGAATATGCCATTATTGCGGCCATATGGTTGACTATGATGAGGTTGGTTATTTTTGTG